AGCCACTCCCCAGCTCATCACCAGGCTGCCCCTCCTGAACAGAGCCCCCTCAGACCACGGCAGGGACCTGTGAGGGCTCCCCGAGCTGCCCTCAGGCCTCCCGCTCTCCCACACACCTCAGACCCCTCCAGGCTCCAAGAGGCCGGGCAGCTTCCTGCTGACCCCATCGCAGGCTGCCGCAGGTTACAAAGGAGTCCCTGCCAGCTACTCTGTCTGTCTTTTTAAATTTTTTACTGTGATTTGGGGAAAGTTCAGAGTAAATCAGTTTTTCACCCAACAATTCACACCTGTTCTGTGTGGTGACTCTGACCGTCAGCCCCACAAGGCCACAGCACTCCTCTCAGTTCCTGCCTGGGGTTACCGACTTCCCTCGTCCTCTCTTCCTGCCCCTACCCCTTCCTGCCCGAGCTCAGTCCCTGGGCAAATGCAGCCCTGTGGTCCTGAAGGGCTGACTGCTCTGAGGAGCATGGACCTTACTGTTCCCCTTACAGGCCAGTCTGTCGTTGGCCTGACTGCTGAGCCCTGGGGTGTGGCATCTCGTGTTCCACACAGCAGCTGCCGCTCCCAGGACACCTCTCCCTCCCTGGACAGACACAACCTCGGGCTCCTGGCTGCTGCAACAGTTTGTCAGTTAAACGGAGACCATATGCAAGGCTCTTTCGATGCACAGGCTCTGTCACCGAGGCCACCAACCTGCTGCCAGGCCGGGCCAGGCCCACGCGGCATTTCCTCGTAAGTGAAATGCACACCACGCACCTCTCCCCTTGCACCATCCAGAGCCTGGTCCTCATCCTACACACAGCAGTACTCACAGGAACACCAGAGTCCACAACTGAGCCTCGCAGTGGCTGCTGCCCAACCCTCACACCTGGCCCAGGCCGATGCCTTCCCCGGCTCCACGCCCATCCTTCCATGCCTGTCCTCACTCCACTTGGGGGGAGACCTAGCAGACTCTCCCTTCTCCCAGGCTGCCTCACTTGACTGCTACAGCAGCTGAGGTAGCAGGAAACAGAGGAGCCAAGCCTCTTGTGCCAAACGTCAAGCAGAAAGGAGAGGCTGAGGGAGACTGACGTCATCCCACTTTCGGGGGCTCAGCATGAGACTGGGACCCTCAGCACATGGAGACTGGAGACAAAGACAAGTGAACAGGGAGGGGCAGGGAGAGAGCCAGGACAAGAACCCAGGAGCCAACAGCATGGCCCACAGCGCCCAGATACACACAAGCTCGCCTGTCCAGCAGGCCCTGGCAACAGGGCTCATAGGAGGCCAGGCTTGAGCATGGCACGATGGCTGCCCCAGGGCACAGCGACCAGCACGAGGGCAGGATGTGGTGCTGCCCCTGCTGGCCGGCTTCCTCCCCTCTGGCCGC